TTTGAAATGGGGTGAAGTTTTTTTTTTTTTTTTATAATTACTTTATTTGTACAGGCTCAATCGAATAAACTTTACAGAGCCGAGTTATTCTTTGCGTTATACATTATTACTGTCTTAAATTTAAAGTTAAAGGAACTGGACCGAGTACTCGCGGTTGTCTCGAGGTTAGTGGAGATTTACAATTTTTTGGATGGGAAAAGGGAAGAAGGAGGTTTGAAATGTGGTTTACGATACAACTATTTAATTAATCATGAAATTATTTCTATTCATCTTGAAAACAAACATTGAAAAAAAAACCCACACGTACAAAATACAAACTAAACACAAGGTTAATCAAACTTACAATCTAAGGTTAATATCCTTAAAGTAAACATATATGAGTTTCATAAACTCCAGATCGCGTCTAGCCAAAATATCCCGAACTGGAACATTAGGTTGTCTACCTCGAGCCCGAAGGGAATCATAAAAATGTGATCTGACTCCACGATACTCCGCACAAGACCAAAGGATGTGATCAGCGTCCTGGTAACCTTGTCCACATTCACAGAGATTGCTGTCTCCCAACCCCACACGGAACAAGTGAGCGTTTAGACAATAGTGATTAGACATGAGACGAGACATCACGCGTATGAAGTCTCGACTCAAGTCCAACCCTTTGAACCATGCAAACTTCGACACCTTAGGGATAATTGAATGTAGCCATCGTCCCAAGCTCCCTTCACTCCATTGATGATGCCAGCTAACGAGCGACTGCTGACGATAAATAGAGAAAAATTCACTATAGGCGATCTGTCGATCATAAATGTCGCCTTCCATAGCGCCCACCTTCGCAAGTGAATCCGCCTTCTCATTGCCCAAAATTGAGCAATGCGAAGGGACCCACGCGAAGGTGATGATGAAAGAGCGCACGGATAAAGTACTAAGCAGTTCTCGTATTTTCAAGAGAAAATACGAGAAGTGCTTTACCGGCCTAATGGAACGGATAGCCTCGACAGAACTGAGACTATCCGTAAAAATAAAGTAGTGGTCTGGAAGAAGTGTTAAGTTCAGCCACATACACAGAACAAGGAGCGTCAAGTTTTCGAGAGGCGCTATGAAATTCATTAAATACACCAAAACCAGCGGACTCCTCTATTAGAGATCCATCTGTGAAAAACGTTCTTGCGGAATCAACATGGCCAAACTTTGCAGCGTATAATGACGGAGCAATCATAGAACGATGATGCTCTGGAATTCCGCGGATTTCCTGCGTCATAGATAAGGGTGAAGTTTTTAGATGGTTCCAGAAATATCTTCTAGTAAAGAGTCAAGCAGAGATATACTGGAAACACCGTAAGATCACCATTCATGCTCCTAAGAAGACGCAATTGCTTGTCGAAAGGATTCTAAAGGAAGGTAAAGGAAGACTACGTGAGCGGTGGATGGCAACCTTACGGTAGTTCGGATACCGTTAGCATGTTAGCACCCCAAATAATTCCGGAATATCTCTAGAGCTATTTGTCCTTCAACAAGTCCTTATGCGGAAATCTTCTAAAATACATTTTTTTGAAAGCCTCTGAAGCTTTCAGCCCATTTGGTGGAAAAATAAACAAGTTATTGCGCATTTGAACCAAATTAGACTGCCGCGCTAAAAAAATCCCTCAGAATACTTTTACTCAGACCAGTAAAAAAATAAATGGACGATTTTGAATGTAAAAAATGAGTTAATGATATCATAAGATCAAGAATTCCCTCAGCTACATTTCACTTTTTCAGCCAGATTTGAAAAATTAGAGTAGCAAGAGAAAACGGTCGAAATATTTGTCCCATTACATAAGACACAATATTGAACAGCCAACTTTAAATTCGTTTTTCTTGAAATCAAAAAAAAAATGTCACAGTTCGGTCTGATTTGATCGATCATATCAACACGCTAGTAATGATAGAACTCTGAAGATTAATATTTGTATTTTGTCTGGTTTGAGTGAACACTATTTTAAGGGATTATTTTCAACGCAGAAGTGTACTTTGCTGCAAAAACGTTCGTGGTGACCTCTCATTACATACACACAAGTCTACACTTAAAAATTAACCAAGTTTAACATGTTGTAAATTTGTTCTGTAAGATCAATCGGGCTGAAATTTTGACTCAAAACTTGCTTTTCCATTGATCTTTGTCCGATCAGCTATGCACACATTTTAATTTTATTGTCACCTTCCAGCAGGTGCTTTAAAAAATTTGGTATTTCTTACACGTGAAATTCAACATATTTGTAGTTTTGCGTCAAAATTTCAGCTCAATTGATCATAACAAAACACATTTACAACATGTTAAATTTGGCTAGTTTGTATGAAAACGACCTTAATCCGATCAATTTTGCACCACAGTGTACGCAGGTACGAAATGCTGGATTAAGGTTAATGTAATAAATTTAGGAAAAAGTTGTGTCATATCTGTATTACGGATTGTTGCTAAGCTTCTTGCTTCAGGAATTGTATTGAATACCTGTCAATCAACAAACATACTACGGCAGCAACTGAATTCTTCAGATGTGTTAGTGCTCACAGGATAGTTCATATCAGCCACCATGATGCTGAATTGAAACAATCAATTTGCGACGACAGATTTCTAAAAAGTCCTAGTGTTAGTACCGTGGACCCTCGGTGAAATTAAAAAAAGCATATGTATTAACGAGCAAATACACCACAACTTGATTGTACATTTCGCTAACCAAAGCAACATCTCTTCCTTCGTTCGTTATGAATGGGCTATTTTTCAAGTTAATCCTTTAATCAACGAAAATTTCCGCTAGGAAAACTTTGTTGGTCATAACCATCCGACACCTCTTCTCCATGTTCGATAAGAGTGTAGTAGCTAGGTCGCTTTCCATCGTTTTCAAAACAAAACAACACTTTTCTCACATCAAGAACACGAGTTGGTCTTCCAGTTGAGTTTGTTATTTCGATGTCGCATTGATGTCGCACGAAAAGCGCATGAGCTTCGGCTCACGCGACGTCGCATGATACTCGTTCTCATGAAACGCATACATCCGGAAATGTGCTATGCTTACAAAACAGTGTGACACACTGACATGAGAATGTGAGATGCGACAAAACTTAAGAGAGAGAAACAGAGTGCTACTAATCTCTTGCGCATGAGACTGCTATGACTATGAGACTATTCGTATTGCGTCTCGCATACGGTAGCGCGCGCACTGGAAGCAGTATTTAAATCTTTTTCATTTTTTTTGTGAAATGTAGAATTCACATGATTTTCTTATGATTGTTTTCATCTAAATTTAATTTGTTTCATATCAAGATGGTAGGACGAAAAATACCTAGGGGCATCCCACTCTAAACTTTGTATTTCTCACGATGTACTTATAAAGTTCTAACTGGTATCTTAGATACCTACAAATACTTAAAAATACTTAAGAAATACTTATTACTAGATTGCTTCTCTGGTTGCTAGACAAATTTCTTACTCAATGTTGTCAAGGATTTTATGTGTTAGGTTGGATTGTGTGCATTGCGAGCGTTAAAGTATTTAGTGAATAAATCATACAAAAGAAGAGATTTACAAGTTCAGAAGAAAGGTCAATTATGGTCTTTCGTTTATGAGAATGTGTCTTTTCTTCTGACATGAGAAAATTTAAAAAAAAACTGCTTTCCAGCTGCACCGATTCTCAACCTAAAGTACCCTCTCTTATTTAAGTAGCTATATTTGAGATATTTTTTGAGCAAACACACTTTTTCTGAACAAGTTTCATTATAATATTCACTCCTATTCCCTATTTGGATCGAACCGGATTTGTATTTCTGAAAAAAACATTTCGATCAAAATAAGGTTAGATAGGTAATACATAAATAGATAGAAATAGATAAGTGATTAATTTGAATTCATTGACCAAATTCAGTATTTGGCAAACATGTGAAACAGGACAGTGAGGCAAATGTAAACCATGCCTTTTTTAATATATTTGTATGTTTTTTTATTTGTCAAAGCTCATTTGCATTAGCTTCACAAAGTTGAAGTTCAATTTTAGATTAACAAAACTCTGTTAAACCTAATTTTAATGGAACGAGGACCGATTACTCGTGGTATCCTCGAGGTTAGGGGTACAATTCCCAACTAACAATTTTAGCTGCAGACTAGCTTATACAGCCGGAAATTGCCTTATGTAGCTAATTTTTGTCGTTATAAGCTGATCTGCAGCTAAAATATTTTGTTGGGTTGGGTAAACAGGTGGAAGTTCTCGGGGTTTAACTGAAGTCTCCATACAGGTCTGCATAGTTGACGTCGTGCCGTTTCCAAATTGACTCTGTCATCGTCCTCATGTCCTTTTCCAATTGTGATGTAACTTCAGACTTCAAGAGCGCTATGGTTAGGCTACTTGAAATTGCCAGCACGTCTAGCACCTTTTTAATCCTTACAAGAAAATCCAGATGACTGCAAATAAAATATTTAATATAAAATGAGTAACAGCAATAGTCAATTAAATTATATTCAAATCATCAAAACAGCTATTTCATCCTATCAGTATTAATTAATGAATTAGTGAATTAATGTATATTTTACTTACCGTACAGGAGACTAACTCTTCGGTTGACATTTTGCAAAATTCATGCGTTATGTTTGACATCGAAATAAATAAAAACAATTACACTAAAAACCGATGTTATAGCCTAGACTTACTATGATCAAAATAACGTCAAGATAAATATATTTGAAAATACTTTAAAATACTTAACAGAGATTTAACAATACTTAATGAGTATTGGAACTAAAGTTTAGAGTGGGATGCCCCTAGAAAAATACTAACGCACATTTGAAATTCAAACTTCGAAGGCAAATAACTGCCTTGGGCCCCCGGATCCTAAATCTGGCACTGGGGCACATTCAAAAGATGTATTATAAGGAAAGTTTTTTAAGATTATGAACTGCTGATGAACTCTAGAAACTCTTCATGAAAGTTTCTCGAGGAATTCCTACTACAAAACATTTCATCAACATCGTAAAAAATTAAAATTATAAAATGCACCATATTTTCGACTCGGTTGTAGTGCAGCCTCTTTGACGTGATATTAATTTTAATTTTTTGCTCCGCAGGATCATTGACGAGCCGGATGCTGATAATTCGCTAAATCTCCTATAGCTGTTTCTTCATATCCGCGATACACCCAGTACTGTAATCGTAAAATAATAACAGGTAAGTCTCAATTTTTCTCAAGGGGCGACAGATAACTTAGGACGAAATTCAAAAGATGTGCAGATCGAGAGCTTCACCAAAGTGAAGCAATAAAATTTCAAAATTATCGGTATGACAAAAATCCTCTGTAAGGGTGACATTGCATTAGATAAGAAAGAGAACTTCATGATGACGGATTATTAGAATTTCAAAATTATTAACGATGTGGCAATGTTCCTCTGTTCAGATGACATTTCTAAAACAAGAATGTCAAAAGCTTCCCGATGACGGAGCATAAGAATTATTATATTATCAATGAGGTGACAATGATATTCTGTTGAAAATTTATTCCAAAAAAAATTTTCTATCGAGAACTTTATCAGGACGAAGCATTAGAATTGCAAAAACTATCAACGCTTTGGCTATGGTCCACTGGAAGAGTGACATTCCTGAAATAATATTTTCAAGAACATCATCAGCATGAAGCATTAGAATTTAATGGTTTCAGGTAGGCGATATTCCAAATATTCGCATGCCGAGAACTTCATAAGGATGATGGATTAAAATTGCAAAATTATCAACAAGGTGGCAATAGCATCATGAATCTATCCACCATAGTCCAGCCCATTGCTTGTTTAAAGTTCAATTCAGGCATATCCAAACACAACGCGGCACTGCGTACGGAAATCTGTTATCCAGCCCATATATTAAGTAAGGACAGACAGTTCAATAAATATCACACTAGCGCTACCGGGTGAGAGAATTTTGAACTAAACTCTTTACCATAAGATAGGTCTTGACCATCTGGACAGCTTTACTGAAGACGGAAATCTTCTATTTAGTCCATATGTTTTAAATAAAACAGCAGAAATGATTATCTTCCATTTAATTCCACTTAATTAATTTTGGTATCCATGACAGAAATGGAAGATAGCCATTCGAGAAAGGATTAATTATGTCTGAGAATCGTTAACGGCCGATTTAAATGTGCAGTGATCTAAACTGTCAAAACCATAGGATTTTTTTTAATCTAGATAAAAATAATTTGTCCAGAATAGATCAGACACGAACCAACTCATAACTTTTGCATGCGGGTTGATGGCGTAGCTAAATATTTCCCGCGAACACGGAGCCAGATGTCGGTAGTGTGCTTTGGTCAGAAATTTTATTGTTTTTGCTATGGTCATTCATGTTGGTTTGTCGGTGGTATTAGATTGTTTGGATGTGCTTTGATTTTCGAGGAATTGAGTCCTATGAGAACATGAATTGAAAGGATTCCCCATTTCAATCTCTCTCAATTCCCGATTCCCGGATTTTCAAAACCGCCAAAAGTCTACCAATATTTTTTTTTTATTTAAATCAATGTTAATTGAAATGTTATTCAATGAACACGTAATAACTATAGGTAGTATAATTATCACGCGATCATCGATTAACATTCTCAACTGGGTACAAAAAAATATTTACTCTACCTCTAGCATAGCATTAAATTTGCAATGTGCAATTCATACATGATAGATAGCGTAGAAGTTTCTATCTCCGACTCCAAGTATGTATTCCCGACATAGCACAATATCTCTTGAATCTCAACTGCGATTTTAGTTTTCGACACAATGGATGATCCACTATACGATGCCAAGACAGTTAAAATGCCGAAATCGTGATTCAGTTTACAAAAACGGGAGCTATTCTGCTTTGCCTAAAATAGGGGCGTTTGCCGAGAATATAGACCCTACGAATACAATTTCCACTTTGGAGCTACGGAATAGTCCATTCTATGCGCACGGGTATTGATGGTCCGAAAATGAGGGCAACAATAACAAACCATTTTTTTTTGGCAGAAGCGAAAGTGACTATAACAAACTTCGCCCCTGGATATGCTATTCTATCATCCAGAACAACAAACGTATCAATGAATGCAATCAATACCGTCGAGTTATTTACGAAACAGAAAGTCAATGAAGAGAATCGATCAAAATCGCTTGCACCCCTGCTTCCCAAGTTTGGCACCCCTGCTACAAGATTACAACTCTGGTGAGCATTTGGTGTGGTCGTTAGGGGCGTGTGGTTCTGAATAAGGTGATGAGTGTGCAAAATGTTAAGCAATTGCATCCTCCCTATTCGCATACGCCCGAAGATCGGAAGCGAATGCCACTTCGACTTGTTTCGTCTACTAACGACTCTCTGATGAAAGTGTTCGGGAGCAGCAATGCTACATCGACATTTCTCGTCTAGAAACGATTCTCTGACTGTGTTGGGGAAGTAGCATATGCTTGTACAAAATTGGTGGATTTGTTAGTTATTTCGGCGCTTTTGGAAAATGCTTGACATTTACCACTTTTCAATAGTTTCTTGTTCTTTTGAACAGAAATATTTCTGATCGATTGGTGATACAATTATTTAAATTAGTCCAGGGGCAGCTGAGTTATTAACGTTTCAAAGTCTTTCATAATTTCGTTACATGTTTCATAATTCACAAAGTGTACCCTCATATAGAAATCACAGACGTAGTCCTACGTCCATCTTCATATATCTACGAGTTAGTTGATCTTCATCTATGTGATTCCTAATCTTATAGCGTATATCGTAATATCGTGTAAATTTATGCAAAATCGAGCGTTAATTTTATGTGCGCTACATCTCGCAGAAAGGAGATTGAGCAAAAAAATATGTGGAGACTGGTCCAAGAATATACATCAATGAGTGATATCTCATTCGAAAGGTATCATTGAGACAAGAAAAAGTTGGTATGAGGTCAAAAAATTTTACCGTGGGAGAAAAAAGTTACTCAATGTGTAATGTTAGGAATTGGCCATTTTTGCTCATTTTGTTATTTAATCATCTTTTCCTTTTTGCATGAGGTGTATTGTGTCATCATCCCGGCACTTCCTTAGAGCGGTTAATAACAAGGATCCAATAGCACTGGAAAATAATAACAATGATCAAGTGACCTCAGATTCCCGTATATGCTTATCATTATCATTGTTCGATGATTTCAATAAGGGAGCATCAACCTAGGTGAAAATAAATTAACTCCATGGCCTCTATTATATAATTACTCCCTTATTTGTTGATCTCGCCCTTTTTTTATTTTTCTGATTTGCTATAAGTTCAGGTAACGTTTCGCCGGAGCTCGAGTAGTGTATCCTATCTAATCCAAATTCTCTCAGATTTATTGCCAACTCCATTTTGATTGCCGGAGTTCGTTAACTTTATAAATATCTCAGTATTTTGTGTTACATTTGTCTAGTTTTTCATGTTATAAAATTCATAAGAGTAATGTCAACTATCTTTAAAATATTTATTTGTTCTGCAAATACTTCGTTGAGCATTCGCTTAGAATAAATTCAATTGATTTCCCGTGCAACGCAGAAATCATAAATAAAACAGCAAAAAAGGGTTATCTTCCATTTAATTCCACTTGATTAATTTTGGTATCCATGACAGATACGTATTTCGACTACAATGTGCAGTCTTCATCAGTGTCATTCTCACTAAAGAACTTATCAAAATCTAACCCCCTCAATGGCTTCATTATGATGGCTACCAAGCCTTTGGGATTTTCCTTACTAGAGAGTTGTATAGATTTTTTCGCCTTTACTTTACTTAAATCTTTGGTTTTTATTACTTAGGTAGGTTCCGATTCAACACATTGTAGTTTCATTTTTATACCTGTGATCTTGACTTTTTTTTTACCTAGGAGATGAGTATTAAGGGGGTTAAATTTTGATAAGTTCTCAGTGGGAATGACATTGATGAAGACTGCACATTGTAGTCGAAATACGTATCTGTCATGGATACCAAAATTAATTAGGTGGAATTAAATGGAAGATAACCGTTTTTTGCTGTTTTATTTAAGCATTCCGCTAACAACCCAATTTCATTACTTCACATCAGAAATCATGTTTTGTCTACTTTGTACTTCGGTTACTGTTCGGTACTTCCAAGATGTCTTCGTCTGTTAACTTGAGATTTCTTCGAATTACATCCTGATGTGGCCGTTTTCATTACTGATGCAGTTGCACCTTATGAGGTAGTACATCCGTTTATATTTTTGGGATGAGTGCCTCAATAAGCAAAAGATTTGTTTGAGTTGTATGGATTTAGTGTTATGGAAAAAAAGTATTTGGCCCTTATTACGTGTATCATTTCATGGGGAAAATGAAGGGAAGTAACGAATTCTCATCCACGCTGAAGTGATTACTGGGCAAATCAAATAGGAAATCACTTCACCGTGAGTGACAAGTTATGATTTCACTTCGTTTTCACCGTGATAAGGGCTTGTATTTTGACCATGAATTGAGTTGTTATCACGGTTGTTAATCGATAACTCGATAGCGTATTTTCGTATTCGTCAGCAATGGAAAATTCGCATAGCAGGCGTTTACGAAAACACATTATGGACTTTTGACTGATAACCCTTGTCAATATCATTCAATCTCACACAAACCAGATTTGTGCATATATATATTGTCGTTAGAGTTGGAAACCCACTCGTGACAATCGATTTTACTCTCGTGCTGTACGTGTAAGATAACGTCGCATCTATAGCGCATCATTTAACGAATAGACTTCTCTGACGTTTATGAATTGCACAAGTATTAGTGCAGAACTCCACCTTAACAAATATGTTCCACAAAATTCCAGAGTGTGCCAGGAGCATTTACGCGAAAACGAATGGGATGAATTATTGGATTTTCCCAACTTAATCCACTACTTCAACGCCACCCATACAAAAAAAAAAATGTTTGATATTTTTAGATCTGCTTTGCAGCAAAATGGATTAGAATTCGAAAACTTGTTGGAAATGGACGATAATGAACTGTATTATTTAGTAGGATTTGACAGTTCGAAAAAAATCTTGAGCAAATTCCGTTCCTTACAAACAGATTTGATACTCCAGGTACGGCTTTGGGAATATATCCTGTAATGTTGCGTAGTGGTGCATCGAACGAAAATCTAAGTGCCTTGTTTAAAATGAGCCGATGGACACTTTACGACTCCTTAACAAAACCAAAGAA